AATTATACAGGTACACGCACCCACAACCGATTGAGACGATGGAATGGTTGGGATCCTTTATGACGACATCTCGATGGTTATAAAGGAAAGCAAGACTGGCATACTGTATGATCACCTTTGGAGATATCAACGCCAAGCTTGGGAAAGGTCCTCATCGTAAATGGACATAGGTAACCTCTAATGGCAGGACTAAAAATAAAATGGATCTATAACTACAAACAAAAAGAATATCATCAAATATGTCACTCTATTAAAAACCTTCTCAGCGGGCTGTAACTATCGTTTAGATAGGCTAAAGCCAGGATGAACATCAAGAGAGAAAGATTAAAGATGACATAGATTACCCAAATTGCAAAATAAACACAACTAAGAGGCAGAATGGGGGAGAGAGAAAATAACTATCTGTTAAAACATCTGAAGAAAGTCGATATCAATTTGTATCAATTAAGCTAGCAGATCGTCAACAACTGAAAAAAAGACATTTAACATATCCAAGTCTACCAGACACGATGTTCGAACAAACAATAATAAACATATCTCAAGTGATTGACGATAATAGAAGTGTGAAGCTATTGCGCAAAAATATTGCTGACGATGGAAGATTCTACTCCCAAACTCTCTGATCAAAACGGTAATATTAAGACAAATAAGACCAAAATCCTAAAAATTACTGAATAGTTTTATAGAGAACTGTACATAGAAGAGAAGGATAAGTTATCTAATTCATGGGAAATACCAGAAGCTGGATCACCAGGAGATGACGGTATAGTTATTGAGACGATTAAAGAAGGAGGTGAAACTTTTTCTACATGCTATTTATAAACTTTTGAACACATGTCTTCTCGAAGGTACAATATTGTAATAGTTATCATGCACTAAAAAGGTGACGTTGCTGACTTTTACAACTTAAAAATCTCTTCACAAAAATCCTCATAAAAGACTCACAAATAAACTCAACAGTTACCAACCAAGAGAGCAAGCCGATTCCCGCCGTGGTTACGGAACAGTTGACCACCTTCAAGTCAAACTGCAACATCATGCGTCAGATTCCACGAAGAAACTGGCAAATTTAGAATGAGGCACGGTTCCAGAGTATCTCCATCTCTATCGCAAAAAAACATTTACAAACATGCTTGAATATACATTTAAAGTCATAATTTGGGAGGATCTAACAGAATAAACATAAACCAACATGAAACTAGGCCAGGCATGTTGCCAGAATATCTGGTGACCGATTGAACAGACAGATTTTTGAATGGAGACCAAGAGAGCCTACCGAAACCGAAGGCGACCATCGATAAGATGGTGATAAAGACGAATCATATCGAGAGGCCTATGTCCAGCAGTGGACGCATAGAGGCTGAGGAGGATGATGATGAAGTTTTTTCGTTCCTTTTCACCCTTTCGAGCCCATACTCTATTGCAGCATTATAGGCCTATTGTAGCTCATTGTATGGGCTCTAGTCCTTCCCGTAGTACTGCGGTCACCCATCCAATCTCCATCCCGACACCGCGTTTCTTGGCTTGAGTAGGGCGTCTTGCGTCCTTTATCAAGAACCAATGTGCCGGAACGTAATGACGAAGTTTAGCAAACAACATGATAAGATGTGTCCAAAAACTAGGCTTATTGCAATAATTACAAATGCCTGTTTTGAGGTTATGGTAGTGTGTCAACAAACTAATTCACCTGTTCTGTTGTCTCGTGAAATATTTTTGGAACCGTAATTTCAAGAGAATTCTAGTCATTTAGGCAACCAGTAAATTTTTATTTGCGATAATAAAAGTAAGGAAGCAATAAAAAATTCATACACAACTGTCATTGATATTTCGATTCCAGGAATTGGAAACGGCCTCTGAACATATTATTTTTTTGTCGAGTGTTATATTGGAGGGTCATACCCCTATAGGTTGTTATTTTAACAACGGAAAGTGCAAAGTGAGACCCTTCCGACAATTCAATTCAATTATCCACTTGGAAGTCACCTGACTTTCATTTGAAATTATGAGCTGGAATGTTACCAATAAGAACTCTGATTTATCAAATAATGCAGTGTAGTCAAAAAGGAGAAGAACATGCTAGTCGATCAACCATCCTTAATAAAATTTAGTACAAATATGGAGCAGATGACCGTTCAGATCAGAATATTGGTCTTCACACTTATTTCGCAATACATTGATATGGCCGAGGCGAGGAGAATGCCTGGTACATTCATAGACTTCAAGAGGCAAGATGGATGAGAGACCACCGAAAAGAGATCACTGAAAAAAGAACATTGAAGATCATCAAATCATGCCTGATCTTCATACGATATGATTGATCTTCTAATCATATAGCAGTAGAAGCTGACAGAACAAAGTGGAATTTAGGTGGGAAAATCAGGGATTGGGGTGCATCTCGAAGGCTTTTAATAACAATAACTAGATAAGATAATTTCTGAAATGTATTATATATTTTGTATTTGTAACAATAAAACGTGAAAAACTTTTCTGTACCCTATTGGCTTTTTGAAATTGGGTTAGTAATAACTATAATCAACCATGTCTATAATAAAGTAGAACAATTACCTCTAAAGTAATTTGCCTAGTTACCAAACGAATATAATTATCCGTTGTTGAACTTACAGTGAAATTTGATTTGGCCCACTCTCAAAACACAACATTATGAACATTCTTAGCTGTGATGATGGTAATAAGTGGTGTCGAAACTTCGGCTTTGTAGATACTAGTGCAAGAAAGTCAAAATTGGATGCTTTGTAGTTTAGCTAGCTAATAATAATTGAACCTAATATTCATTCAACAATACTCAATACTAAAACAATAATACATAAAAATTGTGTTATTTGTCTTCACTATTATTCAAGCAATTTATTCAAAGTTGCTCAACAGACATTTTTAATTAGTGCTTTAAATTCAAACCAGTCTTCATAACATAACTAAAATTCACTTTGTCACTAGTTTCGGTTTCTCATTTGTTGATTTATACGCTAAACGAGGCGCGTTTGAAATTTAGATGACTCTAGAAGGAAATAATTTGTGAGCTTTGATAAAAAAATAGAGATGGATATATAAATAAAAACTTACTTTAGAGAGTAGAGTATTTCGTCATTTCAATATCCATAAGCATAATTTTGATTTATTTGGCTTGCATTTCTCTCTCAATTCCCAATTAACGATTGATTTTTATTCACAAAAGGAAAATCTATCAATCATGACACAGGAATACTCCGGTTGGATTTACTGATTTTGTTCAAAGCACTGTGAAGCTTGCTTGCCTTTGGGTGTTTTATTGAGCTTAAACCTAACTCCCTTCAGTATTATTCTTAAACGAATTTTCCAGGGAAAACTTCACAAAAAATTTGGTTAATGTCCTCTCACCTCTACCTTTCAGAAAATCCCATCAAGTTCTCTCAATTGAAAAAGGACTTTTCCTTTTTGAAGTTCCTTTCTTGTCATAAAGGTTCAAGACCTTCGCTTGTTAATTAAATTAAACTATGCTTTCCGCTTTATAAGAATCATAAAATAGTGAAAATCCTAGCCGCATTTAATTAGCTAAGTGATATTTAAATTATTATAAACCTAGTTTTGCGCAAAGTAATTATTGTGACTAGAATTGTATGAGATCAGTTCATAGAAAAATCAGGTACACAACCTCATCATCGGCTTGGTTAGTGCCCAAGCCAAAATTCAATTTCGAAATGAAATTGCCCGTTGTCTGGTATTCAGGAAGCTTAAAATCGACGCTGACATGGTGGCAAAGTAATCACCGATAGAACAATAGTTGGAAAACTTGTTGCGTTATTAAAATTGTTTATTATTTCCATGAGTCACATTTGACTGAAGCTATCTTACTAAATGATTGAGTTTTGTATACCTGTTAAACTTAGGAGCAAAAATTGGTCGTATATAGGAACCAATAAAAATTAATAACAAATATTTCAATAAATTGATTACTTGCCTGCACTCAATAGAAAATCATCTTTATCAGTCACTTTGACAGCATTAATTTCACCGTTTTGCCCTGTCAGAGTCTTCAAAAGTTTTGCCGAATGTATGTCAAAAATGTAAACTTTCTTATCTGAACATCCCAGGACTATCCTGCAGCTATCTTGCGTTATACATAGACTCTTGACCTGAAATGATTTTTCAAAACGGTTAAAATATACTTTCTTATATTTACAAATTATATTATTTTTCGAACTAATTGATTTATAGATGAAACAGATTGTACAAATACTCAGCAGGATGAAAATCCCAACTAAATCGATACAAAATGTTACTAACCGACATATCTAAAACGACTTTGTGCAATGCCGTTTTCAACTCAGCAATAATCTATCCCGTTTTATCCCATTTTTGAAATCGTGATAGATACATTGTTTTCTGTAAGAAGATTGTTGTGCTATCAATATGAGCAGTTAAAATTCAACATTCCTACTTTTTAATTCCGTAAGTTATGCTTTATTACTTTTGCATTTATTTAAGGTTTTGTGATGCTTTTACCTTTTTACAGTTTACGATACCTAATGAGCCACTTATTAATTTTACATAACTCTTCGGTATTTGACCTTATTTTGAATAAATTACTCAAAACCCTCATACAATAATTGCTAACAAAATATTTCAATATTTTATGAATTCCAATGAATCTGTCATTTAAAAGGTGTTCGCTCGAAAAGATACGGGTCCTATAATCTGATCTAAAAGTAACTAAAAACGACAATATCGTTGTGACCAACTCTTTGGAGATACTTAGAAAATAGTTATGAAATACTTGCACTTTGAAAAGCTCAGGATTAAATATGATGGTATCACACTAATAAATAGAGGAAAAAACCTTTTGCGAATATTGCAACACTCTATCTGTCAAAAACTACATTTTCGAGATGTCGAAAGGTGGCGAATCGAAACAAAATGAATTATTTCTAATATTTTATTAAAATTCGCTCGCTAGGTGTATGGGGTCGTATCTTAATGAATGGTATCATAAAAAACCAACTAACCTTTGCTTTATATTCTCCTAAAACGATAGTATGGACGTCAGTACCCGTAGCAACAGTTTTAATATGTACTTTATTATCCTTACAACACGCCACTAGCCAAATGGAATCCGTTGAGACATCTAACAATTGTACCGGTGCATTGATTGTTATTGTATTCAACAGATTGTAGTTGTTGAGGGACCAAAGGTATACTTTTCCGTCTCTACTACCAGATACCATAATATCACCATGCGATGTCACCTAAAAAATAAAACGTCAAAAATAAAGAACGAGAGTTCTGCGAAATACTATTTTATTATTTTGCATAACTGTGTGTCATGTTTTATGATAAATGATAATAATATTAAAAAATTTGATTTACTTAGTTTAATATTTTGAGAAAATTTTATTAATTCAAGCTAGTGAGATTCACCTTAATAGCGGTAACAGGTCCACGGTGGCGATCAATTTTGGTAACAACCTTCCCCGTCGCAAGGGAGCTTATAATAATACTACTGTCTTCTCCACCAGTTATAATAACGGAGTTGTTAAGAGCACTCGTGATACATAGGACCGGGGCAATGTGTTCAGTAATTTTTAATTTCAAGCATAACGCTTTTAGATCCCAGACTATAATGCTGATATCATCGGACCCTGTCAGCAAATATTGGCTCTGCTTTGTTACCGCCATGCAGTTCACTTTATCGGTGTGCCCTGAAATTTAATATTTAATATAGTTGAATATACAGGGTGTTCCAAAATGTCGTGAAATATTTTTGCATATGCAAATGGGGTTCTTATTTCAAGGTGTCAAGAAGTAATTTAATTAAAAAAAAAAAATTATTGAAGATTTAAGAAAAAGAGATAAACTTTTTTATCTCCTGATGCAAGTTTATCAGCTAGTGCGAATCGCAGTGAGTCAAGTCAACTGCTTTACATTTGTTTCTTTTGCGACAAAGTTTTGCGTTTGAGCTGTGAAAATGGTCGAATTAAGGTTTTAAGAGTGAGTATGCAGACTTGCATGATGCATGTTATGTATGAGGAAGCAAGATGCAACAGTAGAGAAGCTGGGCGGCTCTATGCTGAGCGATTTCTTAGTCGCCGACATCCGCCTCGGAACACATTTTGGGGAGTTTATTATCGATTACGAGCAAAAAGCAGTTTTGAACCAGGTTGTTTCAGCCGGACGTCCACGAACTGCAGGAACAGTTGCCTATGAGGAAGATGTTCCGCATCGAATTGCGGAACAACACGCGTGCAATGGCGAATCAAATGAATGCTGCTCACCAAACTGTGTGGCCGGTTACTTCACGAGCAGCTCCTTCACCCTTACCACCTTCAAAAAGTGGTAGCACTGGGTCCGCAATATTACCAGCCGCGGGTACATTTTTGCCAATGGCTTTAGCAACGCAACGCAAACCAACCGGATTTTGGTTAGATCATTACATTTACTGATGAGGCATGCCTCACCAAGGACGGGTGCGTCAATAGTCGCAGCAGCCACATATGGAACTATCACAATCCTTACGCCGCATGGATGAGCAGCTCATCAAAACCAATTTTTCATTAAAATATGGGCCGGTATTATTGGCGACTTTTAAATTGGTCCGTATACCTGCGTCCACCTCGGCTAAATGGTAACATCTATTCACATTTTCTGCGACGAGTACTTCCCGAGTTATTGGATAATGCATATGTTCCTATGGCTATATTGCTGAATGTGGTTCCAAAATGAAGGAGCACCTACACATTTTGCCCATAATGTGCAGGATTACCTAGATCAATAATTTCGTGGGAGATGGATCGGAAGAGGAGGACCTTCACATTGATTTGTTGTATCTCTGTTGTGTCGCGTTATAATTTTAATCCAATTTAAGTTTAATTTTGGTCAATTTTCGTTATTAATAATGTTTGCACTTGTATTCTGTCTCGAGAAGGCTTCTTTTGGCCTATAAGTTTGCAAACTTGAGTTTGTGTGGTATTTTTGGGCTCTATGGAGTTTGCCATCTTTCTGATATGTCGTAGAGGATTTAATCCTTAACAAGCTTTTAATGGGACCAAATCTTGTGCGTTTTACGGTTTGTGAGATATGGGCGATGCAATGCGGATTTCTTTTGCGCAGAAATAGAATAGAATAGAATAGAAAAATCTTTATTATGCAACATAACTTACATCAGATAAAAGGTAGCATTCGCAGAGCGTTCTTCCATGCTACCCCGAATTGCCCTGAAACAATATTTTGACAACTGCAATAACCTATAAACATTTGTGAGTGACGTTAAATATGTTGAGCTGTCAGTATTTTGACTGAAAAACATGTGTATCGTTTGTTCTACAGAAAAAAAAAAAAAACAAAAAGTCCATATTTCAACGGTTATACCTCACAAACCATAATACGTACAAGATGTGGTCCCATTTAAGGGTTTTCAAGAATCAAATCCTCTACGACATACAAAAATGTGGTAAAACTTAGGTCCCGAAAATCCATGTTAGCCGCGCTTTATCATTTGCTTTGTAGCTTTTTAGTTGCTCCTGAAGTTGGCCTAATCGGGTCGAAAGCGCTCGACTTAATAAAATTTTGTATACCTGATACGACTCTCTGTTGAAATATTTACTTCAAATAATTCCGTATGCTACAATTATCATATAAATATGAAAAAGATTTCAGCATAGTCAAGGATTATGGAAATCACTATGATTTGAATGCATTTTATAAATTCATCATAAAGCTTAGCATTTTTAATCGAGTTCATGAATGAGAAAGGAGGTGCTTATTGTGTTTATTAAAATCTGCTTCCTCTAATAAAAGAACGAATAGAACAGAGAACTGTTTAAAAACGCAGTTGTTTTGAATTTTTATCTCAAGAATTCGCTCTGCTATCCAATTTTAATGGAAAATGTACTTGGCTGCTCTCGGGTTTGTTTTAAATTAGGAACTTGTAAGTTGTAAATGATAATTTCAATTTTTTGAGATGGTAAAAACATGAGTGTGCTTTTTTGGCATATCTCTGGCTGGCAATAGCTACAACAACAATGTTAACCGCAATTTGTTCGCGATCTCTGAACAGTAAGTAGTCATAGTTATACCGTGTAAAATAAAGGAAAATAACTGCGTCCTATATAATTTGTCTCAGGAACATGTTCATGCATCTCTACTCAGGGTAAAAATTCTCTCCAATCATAAAGTGCATGAGCTTCACTTTATTTTTATTAATCAATCTATGGAAAGTTTGAGTCCGAGATCGGCATTTGCTTCAAAACCCACGATAATTTTGAAATTTGGCATTCTTTCCAAAAAAATGCGATACAAGGGCGTACTACTTCAACATGTTGTTAGGTTTGGTATTATATTGCGAAATAAGCGAAACTAAGTTTTCGTAGTGGTTGATGGCACATAAGTAGGGCACTTCCTGTGTTGATCTGATGCGAAGTTTTACTGAATTGGTTCTTCCAGTAATTTTAACCACATAGACACCATCAGCCTCTTCTTTTACGAAATAAATGGCTTTTCTTTTTTCTTGTTGACTTAAATATTTCCATCTTTTTTGGGAGAGCTCTTGATCAGCTTTAATTTAACTCAGGCTTCACTAAATAACATCCAACTTCCAAAAAAATTACTAATGACAAATATACTTTGTTCTTGAAGTCAGCAAAAAACTACTTGAATTCGAGATTTAAGGTGTTTATTCCACATTTGAGATAATCCATTTTAAGTCCAATCCTACAAATTTGAAGGATTGTATTAAGTACTCCGATCCGGATAAATTTTCTTATGCTGGGTGTTTATTTCATGATTATCAATCCCCATTATTAATCCAATCCACTTAGTATCCGGACACAACAGCGTGAAATAAACGTAGTCATTAATTAGTTACACCAGAACATGAATCGTTTACGCAGAATTAAAGGCAATCGTCTTCTATCAACGCATTTCTATCCCAGGACAGTTGTCTGTGAGCTGCCTTCTTGCATATTATGTCAATGTATTATATCATGTGATGTATTATTGTACGTGTGAGGTTAATTTGAGATAAATATACTGTGTGAAAAAAAAAACGCATCATCCCATAGTAGTAAATATTTGTTAACCAAATATTTACATACGCTTGGGCTATTGAAAATAAAATTTAATTTAATAAAAAATATGTAAATAAAGTAAAATTTAATCAATAATTGTTATTTTTTACACCATTAATATATGTAAAAAAATTGTTAAAAAATATACACTTTTCGTGTGTGATACGTTTTTTTTGTCACATACCTAGTATATATTTTCAATTAATCACCAATAGGTATATACTTTGAAATCGGATAGTGTCTCTAAATTTAAGCCCATCAGAACCACGGATCTCTGCACTCTGCATGTTATCCACATTTATGCTTTCATTGAAACATGACTAACTAGAGCACACTTTATGCGAAATATGTCCTATACAGGGTGTTCCTAAATATCATGTACAAACGGAAGGGGGTGATTCTTTGATTTATTTTATGAATAAAATTTCTAATAAACATAGGTCCGCAAACGCTTCGTTACCGATTAAAATTTTGATATTTTTTCAGTTTTTTCTTTATAGCTCAAATTTGGAATATAGGTTACGCAATAAAAGCTAAATGATTGCACATGTCAAACGTTTGCCAGAATCTACAGGGTGATGTTTTTTCAGGCGTCATGCCCCTTTTCTGCCCCTTAACTTTTTTGCGGTACGCCGCTGGTGAATTCTAAATAACAAAATAATTTTTCTACCTTATTTAGAAACTTTTTGTTCTCTTGTAGTTTTTTCGAATCACCGACCCTTATCGAGAAAAAAATTAAAAAACAAAACTCTGTTATTAGCTGGATGAAACTACACTGACTAAATAAACATTTTCTACCTACAATGGCGACAATAGAGGTCCCGCCGCCATATTTTTGCCCATTTTCAATAGGAATCCAGAAGTAAGTCAAGCCCTCGCCGTCATATTCTTGCTCCAATATGAATACACTAAAATGAATACATTAAAAATTCAACACTCTGTAGATCGGCAACGAAGCGATTGCGGACCTATGTTTATTAGAAATTTCAGTCATAAAATGGACCAAAGGCATTTTTCTACAAAAAAAATGCTCATCTTATGAATCTATCAAATTTTTGATTCTATATGACATTACAACAAAGTGCAGCTCTGGGGTGCACCTGAATTTCACTTCTCAGTCAGTTCAGTCACGAACCTACTAAAACTGAGTTAACATTCAACATAACACTAAAAGGAAATCACTTAGGGATCATAAAGGCTGAGTAGGTATACCAAAACAAGATTTTCCAGTTCAAATTTATTACACCTACTTCAAATCCATTAGATACTATATTAAAAGCATTATCCGTTCGCCATTATTGTGGCAGTAAAGAACACTGTATATTAAAATAATATGCTTTTATGGCAAAATTTAATAGGCGAATATAATATCATGCTTTTAAGTAGCAAGGGTATGAGTTTGTCGTAAATACATGGCTTATGACTAGTCCGTATTGCTTTTTATAATGCAATTCATTTCATGTAAAAAACTAAAATAAAAGTTTGTAACTATGGTTGGACATTATCAAAACAAATGGATTTGATCAACCAAAAATTTAATAATACCGTGAAGCTGAAATGATTTATAAGTTTTATGATAAATATTAAACTTTAGAAGAAATATCATAAACGAATCAAATTCATATATTATATCTCAAAAGTTAAACTCACCCTTAAAAGTGTGCACCAACTGATTAGTCATAATATGCCATAATTGTGGATCCATACCAACAACTACAACAACATGTTGCCCATTTGGTGTACATTCTATCAGTCTCACTTCTGGAGCAGCCATAACTTTTGATTGGCTTGGGAGAGGGGGCTGCAACCAATCAGTTAACGGAACCACTAAGGGTAATGTAAAACCATCACACCAAGCCATTGCAGATGTGACTAGGTCACTCATTAGGCCCCCTCCACGTTCTGTTACTGGTCTTAACCAAGATATCAACTAAAACATAAATTTATTTTGGTGTATAAGTACATGCTGATTCAATTAAGACGATATAAAAGCATATTTGATAATTTGTGAAGCTATACCAATATGAGAGATTTCCGCATCAGAATAATCCAATGAATATAAATTGTATAAGAAAGATAATTTCTTTTTATGATGAAGTTCGGGATGGAGATTGCATGCGGCCGACTTCTAATCGCGATAAAAGTAAATCTCTGCTAGGATACCGCACACCAAGGATACATGGTGTTGAGGGTTTCGCCAATCCGGGGTTGACATCATTCAGCCCTCTATGATCCGCACAGAACATGAGTGATCCTCTTAGGTAATTACTACGACCGGCTATGCAGATAGACATGGAATATAAGATTCTCCTATGACGTCATCCTTTGACATTTCTTGCAGCATGGTTTTATGGTTTTAATCTGGTGTTGCAGTGAAAGAGGAAGACTCCCTGATGGCGAATAGGTTTGGCGCTTTATGTAACAATGCGATGTTCTACTAGATTACTAGATAGTTTCGTCAAGTAATATATGTCAACCGGTTTATCGTTAGATTGGCTACCCTCGCTGGAGAAAGTTTGTTGGAGTTTACTACACAGTATGCCAGTTCACGCCTTCTAGCTGTCTCTCTAGGTGTGCCTGAAGGTTAAAAAAATATATATATTTCTTTGATGCCTACTCATCATCCTTGTTTGTGTTATATAAGTGTATCGATTGAGAACCAAAGGTTTCTGGGACATTCATTAGCATACACGATATGAACTCATTTACTTTTACCTTCAGTTTGATGCTGCCGATTATAAATACCATGCTTTTCTCTCCAAAAACTCTCATTTAACATCCTTCAGCTGTTTCTAGTAGCGGTTTATTTCTCAACATAATCCCAGCGTCCTAAGAAACCTTATTGGACGTACTACTGATCTTAATGCCTCTGTGTCAATGATCAACTCACATTCTTTGCCGTTGAGAGTGTCTTGGGTTACAAGACTATCAAAATTTTCTTTGATGGCGAAGAACCTTATGCGCTTGGAAATCATATGTCGCCAGCTTTGGTGGCCTGGCAGAGTGGCGTTTCCCTTATGTCTGGTTCCACCTTCTTTCGTTCTTCTGAACGAGAACGCGATCGACAGTTTCTTATAACATATCCATCTCGGTCGCTGTTGTAAGACTATTGGTTTTCTAGTTGTTGAATCGCAGTCTTCTTTGACGCATTTCCTGCAGCTGGGGAAGACATGAAGGAATGGATGGCAGTATCTGCGTTTATTGATGGTCTCAGAGATTCCAAGATCCAGGAAAACCTGAGAATGTCTAAGTTCAGACAAAGTAGCGAAGCCCTTGTCCGAGCATTGGAACTGGAAGCAATCTTTGGTGCCTAACGACCCAGAATACGAGCAGTGTCCATTGAAGACCCAAAAGATAAACAATCATCTCTATGTCGCCCCAAACTTTTGGAAAATATCTGCCCCTGTGTTCGAAATTTTTTTCGGATATCCTTACCTCTATTCGAAAAGGCATGTTAGACAACTACACAGTGTGTCCCAAATTGATGGGGAATGTATTAGGATATAGGAATCTATAACAGATACGAGGAAGGTTAAATGGGAAAAGTTTTAGACAATTATGTAGGACGTTTGAAAGCAGATTGAGTTTAGCTGTTCACATTTTTTCTAGCACGTTTCGGTTTTCTGGAACTACCATCAACTTCATTATTTCTTATAGCCGCCATATTGGATTTTCATATCGTGAAATAGAGTGAAAAAATACAAAATCAATGATATAAAACATCTGACCAAAATAATTAATTTTGGCCACAGAAAATACGTTTTTATGTTTCGATCAACTTGGCAACGTCGCATTACAAAATATTTAGTATAAGGAAGTAAATTAATTTATAAATATAAATGAAAACCGAGGAGACCGAGCTGGCCAAGAACCTGGACCGCGATGAGCAATTACCCTCTCTCCAAATGTATCATGCAAAAATTCCTGAACTTCTTGGGTATTATGAGCAGGGCAATCGTCTTATTGGAACCAAAGTCCAAACCATATCGAACTGCGCTACAGGCGTGATACTGCTAGTGAACAAAATTTTAATGAAAATCCGTCATCTTCGACGCGGGAAGCTGGTAATTCACATACCTATAATTCATAGAGTTTTGATGCAACATAATTATCACCCGTATAAACCGACCATAGTGCAGGGCCTTCGAGGAGATGACTATCTAAGGAGGATCGAGTTTTATAACTGGTGATCAATGCAACGCAGATCCAGCTTTTTCAAATCATGTGGTATAGTCCGATGAGACTAGATTTAGTGATTGTGGAGTATTTGATCGTCACATTTACCACTTCTGGTAAAAAAAATACCGAACTGAGAGCTCAGCGAAGGGTGCAAGTCCGTTTCGGGTTTAATGTGTGGTGCGGCATTATTGGTATTACATCCTATTTTAGACGCATCGTATTTTTTTCTATGCATTTTTTTTAGGAACCCCATATGGTTTCGTTCCAACAAGACGGTTGCTCTGCTCATAATACACGAGAAGTTCAGGAATTTTTGCATGATATATTTGGAGAGAGGGTGATTGCTAATCACGGTCCAGTTCCTTGGCCAACTCGGTCTCGTGACATCACTCCTTTGGATTTTTATTGTTTTCATTTGTATTCATAAATTAATTTTGTACTAAATATTTTATAATGCGACGTTGCCAAGTTGATCGAAACATGAGAACGTATTTTCTGTGGCCAAAATTAATTATTTTAGTCAAATGCGTTATATCATTGATTTTGTATTTTTTCACTCTATTTCATGATATAAAAATCCTTTAGGAAATAACTAATGAAGTTGATGATGGTTCCAGAAAACCGAAACATGCCAAAAAAAAATCTAATCAAACATGCGTATCCTGCACAAAGAGTTGCTTTGTAAGTATGTTCACAGATTTGAGAAAAAAACCAACTTCCCAGTTTTTTCTAAATATCTCAAAAATGTGCTAGACTCAATCTGCAAGCGCTATTAAATTTCTAACATAATTGTCTAAAACGTTTCCCATTTAACCCCCCTCGTATCTGTTATAGTTTCCTAAATCCCAATACATTCCCCATTAATTTGGGAAACACTTATATTCCAGTGCATGGACAACGGTTTTGGCTGAGGCGTTATGCTTCTCCATTCTTAGTGTTTGCTACAGATCTATAGCTCTTACTCTATGGATGGAGAACTGAAAAATGAAGTCTTCGGGCGCTTGTAAAAGTTGTAAATTTCTGCAGTGTTTCCAACGGCTCTAGGGCTTTCTAGCTGACTCTGGTACGCTTGACTAAGATACCTGTTTCGGTACCTCAGCTCTAAGGCGCCAACAACAGCTCAATCACTAAGTTTTGCTTCAGGAATATTTTGAAGCATCTTGAGCCCCTTTCCCCGTATTTCCAGTAGTAATGCTGTGACTTTTGTGCTGCTTATACCATCAATTTGCACTAGCAGCGGCCTCAATCTGTCGGTGATACATGGAGTACGTTTATCTCGTAAAATCCGGATCCGATCGACTTGATCTCATCCAGTGAATCTCCGTTTCTCTCATAAAATGAATTATCCGATCGATAAATCATTTTTTCCCAGCGGATTTAAATAGAAAGAGACCGGCCGAATTAAACAAAGCAAAAAAATCTTATTTTTTAATAAATTTGTGGAAAACTCCCATGAGAGGGAAAAGGGGAAAGTAGTTTCCAATTTTTACAGGAAAGAAGATCCATTTGAAGGAAAAAAACTTATATTTTCAAAACTTTACTTCATAACAAAACAAGTTAATAACACTAAAAAAGTGAGATTAGACGAGCTTGCCAAGTTTAATTTGAATCGCGTTTCTGTAGTAAAAGGAAAAATTTCGATCCGGATTAGAAAGTCCGATCCGATTGAAAAACAGGATTGATTTAAAGACTTCCATCTGATACAAAATCAGGCGTCATCGTTTATCTCGCTGTTTTCAAGTAGATGGAGTTTCTATCGGATGCATTAGATCCGATCGAATGGCCCGAGATAAACGTGGTCATGGACCAGGATGTTTCGCTGTCGAAAGTTGGTGGTTTGCGTTAGCCGCGTAGGAGACGGCTCGCCGACACGTCAATTTTGCTGCCACCTACGTTGTTGCTTTCGTCTCAAATTATTTCCAGTTTTTCATATTTATACTCGAATTCATCACGGACCGTTCTCATTTCGCTCTTGACCGTCCTCTTCTTTGATTGTCCTAATCTCACCTTTATTGTTTCCTATTTCGATTTTCATCTTTTCTTATTATGTTTCGCCTTTGACTTCTTGTCGAATGTTCTGAGGCACTCCGGTGATTCTGTCAAAATGTTCTGTCTTTATTCTTGTTGTTCTTCTAGAATTTTCTGGACCTGGTCCTTTTCTTCTTGTTCATCTTTTTGCCGCTTATCTTCTTCTTAATGTTTTTTTTTTTCTGTCGTCTGTCTCCTCCTTTCTTTTTGTTTCTATCGGCTTTCTTCTTCTTCAGGTTTTTTTTCCGTCGTCTATCTTTTTGGCCTTGCAAGATTTTCTGGATCCAATTTCACTTTAAATTAATTTAGTTAAGCTTGTTCGCAAATCGCAATACCCTAACTGATCGCCTTAAAATTCAATTCGAGGACTCTCCATAACTGCTTCCATTACGTTGCGAGATTACCGTTGCAAGCTTGTAATTTTCTCGATATTTTCTGCCAGATGCTCTGTCAGATGCTACAAGATAGCATGCGAACAGCGGATGTTGCATTTTCGCGTTTCATGTATCTTTAGTGTACACCCTGCCTACAACTATTACAAACATATTGCGCGTAATAAGCCCAAGTTGCTTCAAAAGAAAATTGAAAAAGTATTCAATACAGTAAAAATTACTTATCAAATATTTTGCTACCTAAAATTAATTTCTTTGTTATTGGGGCTCATTATTTCATTCTTGATCATAAGTCAAATCGTAAGTCAACACTAGAAATTATTAGTAATCA